GACGGTGGATTAGCAATACTGTTACAAGGAATCACTGTTAGGTTGCTTTTCCTCTCTGAATTCCAAAAATAACTCCTCAAAGACTACACATTTTCAAAATATTCTCCAATAGAAATCTTTAATGTTCTGTATATGTTGGAATCAGTCAAGAAATTACACCCCCAGAAATATAAAAACCAATCAATAATATATTACACAAATTTTCTCTAAGTTATTTTTCTTATAATCTTCCAACTTCATGTTTCCCAACTGCCCGATTCTAATACAATGTCTGGCAAATGATAAGTGTTCAGTAAATGTTAGCTAATGAACAAATAAAAGAAATACACAGTGAGCCAAACAGGAGTATACCACCTATATTCTTTTTCTCCTTGAACCCGAAAGTCAGTAATACATGTGGTCCCCCAGCCAATCTTTGCTTTGGTAATTCTTGATTGCTTCTTTCAAGCAGAGACCTCTGTCATTATCTAGGCCCCAACACCAGAATCCAGCCAATTCCAGGTGGATAGGGAAAGAAGTCACAGCAAAGAGCAAGAGGAAAACAATGGTCATGGACAGAGGTGATGGAAAGCATGTGTTCACACATTTCCATTATGAACGGAGTCCCTCCTAGGGTTACAGTTACGCCTAGAGTCACTGCATTCAGTGACACGGTCTTCCATTGCTCTTTCCTGCTAAACTGCTTTCACTCAGCAAAGCTCTTCAACCAGACAGGATCACTGCATGTGATGAAACGTGATGAGATATTAAGGAGCTACTTGTCTTTCTCTAGCGATCTATAAGTTAAAAATTAATAATAATCACCATCCCAGATATTAGCTGTGACCTGAAGCATAACTTTGTATCATGTATTCTGAAAAAATGATAACCTTGTTCCTTTTCTCTTGACTAATACAATATTAATGGCTGAGAAGCCTTCTCCACATCTCAATCGTTGTGTTTTGAAGGGGAGGGGAGAAAGTGGGAAGTACATCCTTCCTGCATCCCATGGGTACACACTTGGGTAGTTGGTGTGTATGTGTATGTATGCTGTGAGTTAAGTAAAATTTGGCTAAACCAGGGAGTAGCAATATTGTTCTCAATACTGTCATATTGTCTTTGGTTCATGCCTTTGAAGATATCCAGAGGGGCATGACCAAGAGAGGGAAGGATTTGAAATCCATACATAGAGAAATGATTGGAAATAGACTCTTGTTAGCCTAGAAAAGGGAAGATTTAAAGAGGATTGGTGACTGGCCTCAAATACTTAAAGAACTAATAATCTGTTCTATGTGACCCCAGATACTAATGCTACAGTTGGTGAGTGGTGCTCGCAAAGAGGTACATCCAGACCAACATCAGCAGTGCCTAAAACTAGAGGGAGATGGATGGAGGCAATGACTGCCTCATCCCAGGGGACTTTAAGGGAAAGCTTAATGGTTGCTCCTCAGACATTACTGAGATACATGTATTCCATTATCATCTTAGACTGTGGTCTAAGATGTAGTAGTAACAGTATTGCTACTCCCTGGTTTAGCCATGAAGTGGCATACATGACCAATAGGCACCTGACCAAACATTTACACTATATGCCCATGGGGAAGGGTATAAGGGGACAACTGCTTGTTTGGCCTGATTGGGATCAGGTGGAAAGTGCTCTCTCTCTCTCTCTTACAATTCATTTGGAAAGTTTTCATGACAAGGTAGGAATTAGGGGGTAGGGGGAGGGAACTGCTTAGAGAAAATGAGCCCAGCTGGTAGAAGACGGCAGATTATAGGTGGGGAAAAAAACTCAAAAACAAAGATGGGATGGTTGGATAACATGGATATTAAATAAGCTTACCTGCATAGAGAGCATAGTTCAAGAGTGAGAGGAGTCAAGGAAAACTGGGTCATCAGTAAACAATGGATCCACGTAAAAAGATGGGAAAAACAATGACCATTTTAGCATCAAGTTACTAGTCCCATGAACAGCCATAGCTATCCTCAGACCCCCACCCCACAAAGTAGTGCCATCACCAGCTCTAAGTTCTTCCTGGTGCTGAAATAGAAAAGGTAAGTACAATTCAAGATGAGACTGGATATACCCCAGGGTTTAGATTCAGTGCATGAGTTTTCAGATGATTGCTTGGGGTTCGATACACTCCGAAATTCATCTTACCATGTATGTCCTTTCCCTTAATTTCCAAAGCAACAAGTATTTTCAATATAACAAATTTATTGTCACATCTAGTGGAAATACATTTCCAAACAAATTCTTATTAATAAAAAACCTTTTATTGACATAAATATAGTCATAAATGTCTTCTCTCCCTAAAGGAAGTCCATGTCAGTTAGAGGTGCTATGTTGTTGTATTTCAAATTTTTCCATTAAACTAAAAGGCTGATTTCCTCTTAAGATGATTATAACATAATAATTTTTTATTTATCATATCTGAACAAAGAAACAATCATGCATGTCAAGACATCCAAACCATATGAAGTTTAGGTAGAAGAAAATGTGAATTTATTACTATTGGGAACACAAAGCTTTAACTTCATAAAAAGCAATTTCTTTTATCTGAGATCTGATTTATAGTTTTTAAAAAAAAAAATCTTCCCCCAAGGATAGGTCTAAACCCCAAAAAGCTAACTTTAAATACTGTAAGTTCAGAAATGAAAATGAGGTTGACTCTTGGCAGTATTAAATTAAAACTTGCCAATACCCTTGTTTTGAGTTCTTCAGATAAGATCATGTCCTGCACACATGCATTCCAGTTATTTCTGAGTGAACATGAAGAGTAGCATTTTGATAGGAGAAGGGTGTGTTCAACAAAGAAGAGCTGCTAACTGACTCAAACCAGAAAAATATTCCCAGAAACACCCTCTCACCACCAAAACGGTTACATGGTGGTTTTGGACATGGAATATTACATTCATGACATCTGTATTTTCTAAATTATTACTATTAAACTGAGTTTTAAGAAGCCTCCAATTGGGCCGGCCCGGTGGCGCACTGCTACAGTGCGCCGCTTGGGAGCACGGTGGCGCTCCCGCCGAGGGTTCGGATCCCCTATACAGACCGGCCGCTCACTGGCTGAGCAAGGGGCAGGCGCCACACCGAGGGGTGT